ATTGTGGGGAAAAAAAAAAAAAAAAAAGATAACCTCAAAGAAATCTATGCAAAGCAACACCAAAATCAAACTTCTGAAAACTAAAGATAAAGGCAGAAATCTTGAAAGTAACAAAAGAGAAATGACATCTCTCTCAAATGGCACAGTGGTGGAGTCTCATGCTGGGAAGAGGAATATTCCTGGGACAGCACATTTCTTGTCAAGGCCAGAAGGATGAGGCACACTACTTTTCAAGAGCAGGAAAAAGAAAAAAAAATTTAATTTTTAAAAGAGGTTGGGGGGACAATAGAGAAATAGAAGAAGAGGAGGAGATTAGAAGCAAGGCTGGAGGACAAAAGAAGATTATGTGAACTGTGGGAAACTGGTAAAGATGACAAGAGGGAAAGAGAGAAGGAAGAAATAAAAACAAGAACCAAACAGAACAACAAAAGAACTGGCAACTTCACAATCACATTAGAACAAAAACCAACAATCAAGAATAAAGCAAAACAAAAGAAAAATAGAACTTAGGAAAGTGATGGAAACCATGAAAGCCCAACATAGAAAGAAACGGAATCATGAAACAGATTCAAACAGATATCCAGGAGATTAAAAATTCTACTGAATGTGAAAAAAAAATCTATTGAAAGTGTATGCAGCAGAATGAGACAATGTGAGAACAGAATATCAGATATTGAAGACAAGATTGCAGTGAGCAATCATGAAAAGGAAGATACCTCAAAAATATCAAGGCACCTCAAAAAGTCAATCCAACAGCTGCTAGATGATGCAAAGAATAACAATGTAAGATTGACCGGAGTCAATGAAAAAGCAGGAGATAGTGCAAACAACACAAAAAACTGTTCACAAAAGTAATAGCAGGAAAAACAAAGTAATAGCAGAAAACTTCCCAAGCATGGAAAAAGAATTTGACACACAGATAAGTGAGGCATATAAAACTCCAATTAACTATGATAAAAAAAAACCAGACCAAGGCATATAACAGTCAAGATTCCAAAAATTCAACACAAGAACACAGTATTAAAAACTTTTAGAGAAAAGAAATAAATCTCCTATAAAGTAAAGCCCAACAGAATCACGGAGACTTCTCAACACAAACACATAAGTCAAGGAGAGTTTGGAGTAAAGTATTCCCTAAAAGAAAACAACCTCTAGTCCAGATTGATGTACCCTGCAAAGCTATCTTTCAAAATTGATGGAGAAATAAGATACTTCTGTGACAAAGAACACCTGAAGAAACTCATGGCCACCAAACCAGCACTCCAAAATGTTCTGAAGGAGATTCTAGAAAGACACATGAGGACTACAATGCCATGAACTCCAACCAAATTAATCCACCAGGAAGGCAAGTAATTAAACTGGGG